ATGAAACGAAACGTACTAAATTCAAAGAATCATTGATGTGGAATTGAAATTGACCAAGATCAAGAGAAAATGAGCTTTTCTCTTGCCCAGATATGGATTTTTTTGCAACTATTGTGATTTTTTCAATTTTATCAGATAAATTGAACTTCCTTAAAACAGCGTATCTCTACTAAGGCTATACATTTGAGGTTTCTCTCTATAGTGGAAGTAAGAAAAAAAGTATTTTTACGACATTATTTGCTTTCATATTTAATTATATGATAACTTCAGAATAYTACATGGTCACTTGGAGATACGAATGTATCTTCTCGTGTTGAAAATCTCTCACTCGCTCCGCTCACTTGTGAGAAATCTTCTCAACACTTGAAGATAAAATCTCCGAGCGCCCATGTAATATCCTCTATGTATACTAAAAAAGTATAAAAATTAAATAAAATGTGAATCTTACTGCCAAGGTTTGCGTAATTTTGACATTCCCTTCCTTGTAATATGGCAACTGTAAATCAARCGGACGACCGTGGTTAGTGATGCATCGTGTGATTAAAACGGCGGAAGAAAAGAAGTGAGGGGAGAGCATTCTTGCCGCTAGAAAATGACGTCTCTGCCACTGACAATGTTTAACAACGCCTTTTTGTGCCTTAAAGCATGATRGGATCCTATTTCTGCAGAGAAAATGCAAAAATGGTTTACGAAGTGCAGTTTTAGCGGACTACATCTCCCAAGATGCTTTGCTGCACAAATGGCGTCGCTGCACATTTCCTATTATTTTCCTTACTCAGYCAATACCATCATAAACGTTCTACGTAATGATAAAGGCGTTGCTATATATCGGCATTACAAAGGATAAAATACGACGTTATACACTCTCATTTTATATTATTAATGAGAAATCAAAAGCAACAATGATACACTCACGTTGRGGAATGAAAGATCAAGATTTTCTTTCACAGAATACCAGCCATCTTTATTGTATTCAGGTCCTGCAATCAAATACAATAGAATGAAATCAATACTGAATGAATGAATGTCAATTTTGTCAGGGTGTTATAGAACGTTAAATATAAGGATATGAAACCACAGCTGACCGCGCATAAATGCACTAGTTTTAAAACAAATATRAAATAAAATGAAAATGGTTTGCTTGAATAGTCGTCTTGCCTTATCGTAGTGTATTTAGTTATTTTAATTTTTCATAACTCAATTAATAATAATTAAAATAATTATTATAAATTGAGTACAACGTGCTCTAATTTTTATTACTCAACACAAATTTTCCTTCCTTCTTATTGGTCGAGAATCGAACATGTCACGCGATAGTGCATGCCGTGGAGGAGTACTACATCAATGCACAGAGTCCGCCGCTTTAGAAAATTTTGTTGTTGAATAATAAAAACAATAGAGCAGTTTGAATCTCGGTAATTTTGATGTGACCTTCACTCTTGATGTTAGTTAAAACTTCACAGACCCCGGGAACATTCCTTAGTTTCCGCGAGCAACCATAAGATCATGATGCCCTTGATTCAATTGCTCTATGGTTTAGATAAGGACGTTTTTAAGCGCGTATACTAGACGATTTCCAAAGTGCACGGCACTCTTAGAAATATCGCAGGTGCATATAATACAGGGCAGGTTCGTATAAAATACATAAGCAGCAATACTGGAGGAAATGCTTTAGGACACCATTAAAGTTTTGATGTTTTTACTAGTGCAATAACAGGCAACCCAAGATCATTACATTTAGTGGGAAAGAAAATTCGAAAACCAGGTAAAATCGCTACTTAACGGCTTCAAACTCCGCCAAATGATAAAAGACACAACAAGTTATTACGGTGAGTATTTTTTATTTTTAAAAACACAAACTTAAAGAAATCAAATTTTGACCGTTGAAGTCACATATAAATTCTTAGTTTGCAATATACGTCACTTCCGGTTAATTAAAATGCATATTTCCAGCTGACGGGCAAAATTCAGCTGACGCCACGAGAGATTGTCTGTGTTTGCGAATAGGTCAGAGAGGTTTTTAGCGCTAAATTTCAAAAATATGCCCGATTGCTGTTCAATTTATGGTTGTACAAATCGATCAAACAAACAGAAAGATAAGAGGTTCTTCAGAATACCAAAAGAAGTCGTCCACAAGGGTGATCGCACCAAAAATATTTCGAGGAGACGAC